GCTTGGCGGGAGGCCACATCACGTGATCAGCGCCCCGCGTTGATCATTACCTTCTGACGTGGTCGCCGGCTGGCGTTCTGTGCCGACTCCTTCATCAAGGGTGGAGTTCCTTTTGTTGCTTGTAACAGACTTCTTGAATCACAGCTGCTTCGATCTCTGGATGGCAAGCTAAATTCCACACTGTGTAGAGGGCCGAAAGTGCGGTGGTATCTGTGCCGGCTACAAGATACACTATAGCCTCGCGTTCCAGTTGACTAGTAGTCATGCTTCCATCTTCAACGGCATCGTACGCTTTCGTTAGGAGTGTAGGCTTGACATTTTCCTCTCCGGTTTTCAGAAGATTCCAATATCCTATTGTTGGAATTATGATTAGCGGGTGTTCCAATCAACACATATAGGATCCGGAGATCCCACGGTTTGACTTACTCATGATGGATTCTTTCGAGTAATCAGCGATTCGCTCCCTTGAGCGCTGAACTTCTTTCGACCCAAATGGGAGATAATACAGTATGTTCATCAGGAGGGGGAATTCTGCCCTAAGCATGCCTCTCACAGGGACCTCCTCAAAGTCCTTGACGTACTGGGTTTTCTGTCATATATGATTAGCCTGATCTAGGATGGCGCAGAGATTGGCAAACAAACAATTCCAGTCTCAAGCATGCGGAAAGACTCCCCAAAAGACGACTGTCCAACAACATCAGTTGCCTAGATTGTGATTAGCGCCCAGATATGAGTAGCTACAAGGCGCTTGGTACACTCACCATGAACGTGAACCACTTGTAAATATCGCTGTGCCCGTGTTCCTTTATATCTCCGGCTATCCTCTCGATAGCTAGTCTTACAGTCTTGGCGATGTATGGCTCCAAATTTTTAATCCATTTCTCAGAGAAGTTGTACGCCACTAATCTGCGAAAGTTTGCGTGGATGTGTGGATCCGTTACCGTGAACAGATTTGGTTCCTTGGTCTCCCCGGTGAAGAAACTGTACCATGAAGATTTCATGAATGGGCTGCCAACCCTGTAAATGGATTTGGCAGCGGCTATATCAGCTACCGAGACTCCATAGGGAGATATGCGGATGATGGGACCTAATATTTTCAGCTTGGTACGCTAAAATATAAAGAATCGCGATATCACTGACCGTAACGTTCGTGAAGTGCTTGGATATATTGGCCCCTGTATCCTCGCAGCGTTGCATGCCTATACCATCAGATATGTGATCAAAAAAAGCCATAGGGTTACCATAATGAAGTTTATGAGAACTTACTTCAACCGTAGATTTGTCCATCGGCTGATTCTGGGGCCCGGCAGGTCAGCAAGTCGATTGGTTAGTCCACTGTACAGGAACCACTGCGGTTTCGTTAGTCTGAGCAAATATAGATGCAGAGAGAACACACAGTAATGAAAGGTAGAAGCACTATCAGAGTTCTAGAGAAAACTGAGAGAGGACGTGTAGACTGCAACGATATCGCATGCTCTTGGTAGAAGAATGAGGAGATCAAAGATTTGTTCGAGTTTTGCGACGACAGTTAGAGAGTTGGTAGATACTGCGTTCGAGATATGGTTCCGGTGTTGCACTAAAACATAGTGCTCTTCAGGATACTCTTATAGATCTGTCGGGTCAGTAAGTCTTCAAGAGTCGGCCTTGGTGTAGGTCATGATGTCACACTGTAGCGTATACCGCTGCGACGAACTAGTTGTGGATCGATCTTGCAACGTCACTCTGCTCCACACCTTGCGAGAATGATCCTGGATTGGGTCATTTAATCAATCCTCGATATAGTTTGTGTATCAATTCCCTGATTCATTAGTCCTATTGTACAATTGTTGGAGAGTAACGGGCTAAGTGATTCCTTTGGCAGACTTACATAGTTACGCAGGCGAGATATGGAAGTCAGATTGAATCCTTCTCTTTCAACATCCGCCTGCATTAGGACCTCGTTTTGTTAGATTGTTGAACGTTTGCATCCATACGCTTTGGCGTTGAGCTCAGTCAGACATGTGATTGGTCGCCACTGGTGAGTAGTCCTCGATATTGATCTGCACTATTCGCAGAAACGCGGACACCGGACCCCGAGAACTCCACAATTTCAAAGTAGAAGCACGGTCTACTGGGATTGGCCTCCACATACCGGCAGAACATCTATCCATCGTCACGCATGGACCTGAGGGCCAAGTCCGGAGAAATTGCTTGGAGTTTTGCACTCGATCATACCTTACGGCCGCAAGGCCTTGGCTCACAAGCATCACATCTCTCGCCGTAACTTGTTAGCGTGATCAAGATGTTTTATATGAACTCTCGAAGTCATTGTAAGAATCAATCTCTATAGTCACACTTGAGGCATCAGTCCATTCATTACACACGCCTACCTGATCTGCACGTGGATCACTTTAGAAGCACCAACATGGCCGCAGAAGAAATATCCCCAGATTTCCCGTTTAAGAAGAAACGTGTCAATACTCTCGATTCCTTCATGGCTTATGTCGACACCGGTCATCCCAGTACAGCTGCAACGACAACCGTTGTCTTCGTGCACGGAAATCCAACGTCATCTTATCTTTGGCGCAATGTTATTCCGCATGTATCACCCGTTGCCCGTTGCGTCGCGCCTGATCTTGTAGGCTTTGGAGATTCGGGAAAGATGCCTTCAGGCGGGTACTACATTAAAGAGCATATTGAGTATTTTGCAGCGTTTATGGAAGCTATAGTACCAGCGAACGAAAAGGTGGTGTTCGTTATACACGACTGGGGCTCTGGTTTGGGGTTCGACTGGGCACGAAAGAATGAGGAACGGATGGCTGGATTGGTTTGCATGGAGTTTATTCACATGATGGTGACTACGGAGGACTTCGTAGGCTGGGAGAGGAATCTGACTAAGATGCGCGATCCCGAAACTGGGCACCAGTGTGTCATTGAAGAGAATTACTTCGTTGAAGTTATTCTTAGGGAAGAAGGTACTTCAAAGGGATCTCTTCCTGACGCGGTAATGGAACACTATCGTAGGCCGTTTGCACATCCGGCTGACCGCGAACCCCAATGGCGGATGCCTAACGAGATTCCACTTGAGGGTCGTGCTCCAGAAGTCGGCGAGATTCTTTATAAAGCTTGGAACTGGTGAGTTGTGACTGTACGAAATGGCATGTGAGACATATACTGACTTCGCATCTTCATATCGGTAGGTTGAAGGAGGGCAATAACCAAGTTCCAAAACTATTATTCTCAGTAAACCCAGGTATGTTGTTGCCGCCTCACAAGGTTAAGGACGTTGCCGAGTGGATGGGCAACCCCCCAGTTGTTAGGCTCGGAAACTCTGGTCATTTTCCACAAGAAGAGTATCCTCATCGCATCGGTGAGGAAACTAGAAGGTTTGTCGACAACCTTCTGGTAGGGAAATAAGTTGGTAGAACACCACATACAGCAGCAGGTATACAGCCTATACCTTGCTCTCTCTCACTGCTTTCGTTCCGGCCATAACACAAGTACTGTGTCTGTTGGTGTATGAAAACCTGTAACAAGCATTGTCATAGCCTGCATTACGGATCACATAAGCTTGTATCAGTTCGCTGTCTTCAAAGTCGAAGTGCGCAACAAAGCTATACACTGCAGATGTTTCTTTCCAACGAGCTGGTAGGAACCGATGAACGTGTCCTCATGCGATCTTCACCACCAGTGGCACTGGTAAAGGCGAATTTACGTCACACATGACAAGGGGGAAAGTCGGAACAATAGTGGTAGTGACGCCGATACGGCCGTACGGCTCGCGAGATCTACATACACACAACAGCGTCCAATCGCACTATCTTGTTAGTAGACTTGCGCTTTGTTTTTAATCTTTCAAGATGTTCTGTTATGAAAATTTAATGATAGAAGATTATTGCTTTAGATACGCTATACATTTCGTAGTTTCTTAGAGATATATCGTAAGGTAGACTTTGCGCATAGAAGAGCAGATCAGTAACTAGTTCGATATTTGTAGCAGTTGCAATGTATCAACCAGGGCTTCGTGTTTTTGTTGATGTTGTTGCTGTGATGGTATGGTTCGATTGCTGTTTCTTGGCTGTCGATATCGAGCGAAAATACACGAAGTTAGAACCGAGTTTATGCAAGCGAAGAATATGGCCGCAAATAATGAAACGATAAGGTACTTGACATGACATACACTAATTCAGACATTGGCACAGAAATGTAGATTCGATAAGCTTTCCAATCATTCCGTCTACAAAGGCCAAGGACGATGGAAGCGTAATAGCATATTCTCTAACCCCTCTCATGTTGTTCGAAAGTAATCAACGAAAACGCCAACAGAAAAGTCTCATCCTATACCCAAACAGTGAAGCAGCCGAATACCAGGGGAATAAGTAGCAACGTACCCTATGTGCGCCATATCGCCAGCCATGGAGGCAGAGTGAAGAAGAAGGGCCGTAGACAGTACGAAGGAAGACTGATAGGATCTCAGATATCCTCCATGTTCCCCGCCGCCTCATCCTCATCACCCGACTCATAACTACCAACCGAACTCATCTCATCGTCATCGCCATCGTCTTTGTCGGAGTCTTCAGCGGTATCCTTGTTGGCGTACTTTTGAACGTATTCTGTCTAATCTTAGTCCAACTTTACTCCCAGCACCTTTATACTACGTACCCTTGACCTTGGCATCGTAGCTTTTCGGTTCTCGCATCAACAGCGCCGCAGCTTCTCCGTTGAGGGGATCGGTTGGGTTGGGGTACCGCAGGAGTTGGGGAAGGAAGACTTCGAAGATGTTGATCATGTCGTACATTGGTGACCAGGTCTGGTTGATGACATCGAGGCAGACGGAGCCGGAGCTGTGTATGTAAGCAGGGATTTGGTGACGTGGTGGAAAGGAGTGGGTGAGTCGTACAGTTCATCGATGTTGGGATGGAAGATGCGGTTAACAAATCCGATGCTGGGACTCTTGTAGGGGTATTGGTCAGGGAGCTCGACGTGGATCTTCCAGAGGCCACCTTCGAATGGCGCTATGTTACATTAGCAAATTGTTGGTTGCGTGAAATTTTCTGGCTTACTCTCTACCGGGCCCTTGAACCTGACGTAGAACTCCTGCCTGTGGTGTGTTAGCATCTTTCCAGTGGGTGCGTATCCGGATGGTAGAGATAGCTAACACTGCAGTCTGTTAGCTATGTATCTGGCAGAAATCGGCGCAATGCTACTCACTGTTGTCGTTGACGAGCGTTACCTCGTAGTCACTCATGAGCCTGCGTTTCATCAGCTACCAGCTCTGAGGTTTGCCATAGGGGCGCCAGGCGCGTGAGGCAAAGGAGCGAGGAAACCGATTGACATACATCCTGTTCTGTTGTTAGCACTCTATATTCCAGCCTGACAATGCGCAACCTACTTCATGACCTGTATAGTTCAACAGAAGACCTCTGTTAGCTCTTGTTCCTTCTCATCTATCGCCGGGGTAAAGGTCTCCACATACATCCGTCTCGATACGTCTCTTTGGCGAACTCATCTTGACGCGGTTGCTACAGCACTATAAAAGTGTGTTGTTCTTATCGAGAAGCTGCGCTTCCTTCTGGGGGTATTGGAGATCTTTATGGTAGTCCGTCGCTCGTGGCGGGAGCTCTCGTGAGGTCGGCGGCGGGGGTTATCGATAGCGGATGAGGGGCGCGTTCGCTGGCAAGCTACGAGTGGTTTGTTGGCAAGGTATGGCTGTCCGTAGCCTTTGATTCGTGTCGTGTTCGACAGTTGTGTGTTGCTGTCTTTTGTTTGGCTAGGATGTGTTGAGGGGAGCAAGTGGGAGTGATGGTGGAGGTAGTCGTGATCACGAGCGTCGAGAGCCGGCATGTCACGCTTGCGCACGTCTCCCCGGCCAGTCATCGCCGAGAACATGACGCGCCATCGCTGTGATACACCTTCTCTAGCATTCACAGAGGCTTCTTCTTAACAACTCATCGTCCCATCTTGAGACCTAATATCACATAATATATCTACGCGTCAACTATCAGTCAGTACAGATGTGATGAAACCAGAGGCTGCATCACCAGGTACCACAAACCGTTAGCCATATCAAGGGTCCAGATCGACAAGCTGATACTCCAAAGACAGTCTACGACTAAACATGACGCGAACCTAGCGCCAAGTGTGCTATGCTCGGTTGCGACTGAGCAAGTGCCTGGGAGTTTTCGGAATCTAGGGCTTCAACCAGCCTCATGACATCAATGAGAGATGCTCGCAACAGATAGCTTAGAACGGCGATCCGCCAGCAAGACCAAACCTATCACCACAGGACTTGGAGAAAGATATGAGATCATCCTCGTCGATGCGCGTTCATGTTTGAATGTGCTGCAGCCGGCACAACAGACGTCCAATCACTGTGGAGCAATGCCGCAGCTTCCCCGAGATCCTGCCTGAGTCCTTCACCGCTGGTCCGAACGATACGTTGTACATGCTAACTGTTTCGCTGGAGAACAGAGACAAGAAATAAAAAGACAAGACATATGCGCCATGACACTTGAATACTAATGACTGAAGGCGGGGTGTACCGAGCACTCGACTGACCCTCGGTTCTTCCAAAACTCCAAGGTTAGGTATACAATCTTCAGCGCAGCTTTCTGCACATGTTGCTTAAAAGCAATCCCCCTCCCGCCCTAAAGCTATGGCTTACGAACACATCTCCGCGTCGTCTCCAGGGGCTGTGAAAATCTTTCTCACTCCAAAAATCCTCTCCACCACCGCACTTGCGACACTGCCGCCATGTCGCGTGCCCTCGTAAACGTGCTGCGAACATGCCCGCGATATACTGCTGCAGCACCACGTGTATACCAACCATCCACGTCGTCGATACCGCGAACCACTTTGACCTGCGCACAGCGGCGATGGAGTTCGCATTCACCGCTGGGCTCTGCGCCAGCAAACGCCCGTAAACCCGTCACCATCAACACGCTTCAGAGTCTCTACCGCAAAGGCGAGCCTATAACCATGATCACCGCGCATGACTTTCCCAGCGCTCATGTCGCCGACCATGCTGGCATGGACATGATACTAGTTGGCGACAGTCTAGCCATGGTCGCACTTGGCATGGAAGACACGAGCGAAGTATTAATGGAAGAGATGCTGCTGCACTGCAAGTCCGTGGCGCGCGCGACGAAAGGCGCTTTCACTGTATGTCCATAATTATCTCTCCATACCCCCTTACTCACGACTACCTCCAAGTCATGTCCACTTGCTGATGCTGAATGTTTGAATAGGTCGGCGACCTTCCCATGGGAACCTATGAGATCTCTCCCGCCCAAGCCCTCGAATCTGCTATCCGTATGATAAAGATCGGCCGCATGAAAGCCATAAAACTAGAAGGTGGCGCCGAAATGGCACCCACCATCTCCAAGATAACATCCGCCGGCATCCCTGTCCTCGCGCACATCGGTCTCACACCACAGCGCCAAAACGCCCTCGGCGGTTTCCGTGTGCAGGGCAAATCCACACACAGCGCTCTGAAGCTCCTCGACGATGCACTCGCCGTGCAGCAAGCCGGAGCGTTCGCGGTGGTCCTGGAGGCTGTGCCTGCACAAGTCGCTGCGTTGGTGACGAGGGAGTTGCGGATCCCGACGATTGGGATTGGGGCCGGGAATGGGTGCTCAGGGCAGGTGCTTGTGCAGGTCGACATGTTGGGAAATTTCCCGCCGGGAAGGTTCTTGCCCAAGTTTGTGAAGCAGTATGGTAACGTGTGGGAGGAGGCGCATAAGGCGATAAGTCAGTACAAGGATGAGGTAAGTTGCAAATGCACCGATACTTGTGAAATGTGCACTGACTCTTTATCTCCATTTTTATAGGTTAAGAGTAGGAGTTATCCTGCTGAGCAGCATACGTACCCGATGGATCAGAAAGCGTTTGAGGAGTTTCGAGACCTAGTCGACGAGGAGAAGGAGAAGTCGGATCTGTTATAGTAGCGTCGCTGATTCATGTGCTCACATTATAGACTCCTATTCCATTAGAAGATGATACAAACTTTGCGCGATACATCAAAGATCATCACACCTGCTTGCACGCTCTGTTCTTTTGATACTCCTCCCATAACCCTTCCGGCGTCCGTTCCTTTTCAACAGCCTTAACGCCCAACACCCACCCCACCGCCCTCGCGAATCCCACCACAATCATGATAATGCACCATTCCACCGCCCCCTCAATCTGTCGATTCCATCTCCGAATCCACGGCCAATCCGTCTCCCCACCCAGCACACCCCTCAACCCAACAACAACAGGCCAGTTATCCAGTTCATAAAAGATAGTAAACAGTTGGAAAGACACCCACCATCCACCTAACATCCACCTCGCTGCCATCTTCCCCCTCCCCTCCAGACGCGCATCCAGCGGCGTCAAAACAACAGCATTTAGATTCCAGAAGAAAAGCGGTTTGGTTAAATCCACCGGCTCTGTCCACTCCTCCACCACAACTTCGTCGTCAATGTCTTCTGGGTAACGCGGTACGACGCACGTTATTCTCTTACGTGACAGGGACTCACGTGCTCTGCCCCAGTTATGTCTCGCGTACTTGTTTACTTTGACTTGTAAGCCAGGTGTTGCGTTTACTGCAGTCTTATCCCCGTATATGGCTACGCTGCCGCCTGCTTTTGCGCTTAGGATCTGGGTCTCGCCGTCAAGGTAGATGAAGATGGCGCCGCGGAGGAGACGCAAATATTCGGTGTGCGTGGTGTGGAAGTGTAGTCCTGATGTCCATGTAGAGTGGCGGGGGAGAGAGATTGTGGTTTTGTATGGCGATGGCGTGGGTGAAGAAGGGAGGGGAAGGGAGGGTGGAGAGATGGGGATGTGGTATACGACTGCTTCGCGACCTTGGCGGATGATGGGTTGGATTCCTGAGGGTTGGGGGTCTAGGATTTGGGGCGAGGGAAGGGGAGCGCGGTTTGGTTTACGGGCAGATCTTTTGGCGCGCTTCTGCATCTTGGATGTGGGGTGTAGAGTGTACGATATTGCGAGCTGAATTCGACAGTTGAATAACTGAGAAGAGCTGCAGGTAAGAAGTAAAGATTATTCGTGAAGCATACAGTGGTTTTCTATAGAATGGGTAAAGTTGACGCTTTGTAAGGAACCTAGCCACGTTACAGAATAATGATACGACCGGTTCTTTGTGTTGTTGTGAATTCTGGTTGCCTAAGCATACCCAGTACTGTCAGCACATGACGGCTGATGTCGCTCATAAACCGGCGGAAAAGGTCCGCTTTTGTAAGCTTACTTAGGAATGTCGTACACCACCTTACCCTGTACTAGGCAAACAACAGCTGGAGAAATATCCACCAACGATCTACCATCTTATTCTCCGTTCGTAGAATCTTGTGTAGTCTCTATCTCCAGTACTTGCGATCTCGTATGCCTTTGCCTTCGTGCTTTGCCTTTTGCTACTGTAGCAAAGATGCTTTGGCCATGATCTCTTAGACAATAGTGACATCAGTAACTACATAATCATCGCCCCAGCTTGACCTAAGCTCATCATGTTCGGCTGACCCATATCCGAGCCAAGCGTCGCCTACGAAGATCATGAAGACCCCTATCCGTTCAAAAAGGCCATCTACACGCTTCGTAAGCACTAGACCACTGGATTCGTAGTCGAGGTCTACGTGTTTTGACAAGCCAAGAAACCAGATTCCCGTTGACTCGATATGTGGAGCTGCTCCGCAACGTCGTGTGATAAGCGCGTCGGCGTGACGCCGAGATTCCCTGTCAAAGAAGATTTCTCCAAAGGAGAATCTGCTGTAACGACCACCCAGTGCCAGCATCTCCTTGACTTGTCTGTCACTAAGCAATTTCAGTGGTGCACGGATCCTGAGTTCTCCACCATTGACAGACCCAAACGGTGCAAGGGCTGATACTGGATTAGCCTTGCAATCAATGATTTTCACCCTGTCTGAATCGAGTTCATACCACTCGCTGTACTTCCAGATCGTGCACTCATGAGTAGATGCCCAGGTCCAAGTAGGGGTATCATATTTGAGATCCCGGTTCCCGGTGTCGTTCGACGGCTCTTCCAATTGTTTGTAGACAGACCACTGCAAGTCCCTTATCAAATTCGACATCCAAAGCCCGGCGACATAGACGTCACCACTCAGATCGTGAAACTCAGACGCAATTCCACCAATGGCAGGAAGTCTGTCGTCTGGATTCGATAGACTTCCCATCGTATACTCCCTCACTGCCGTCCACCAAACTGTGGATAAATTCGCAAGGTGTTTGGGAAATTTACGTTTCCTTTCTGAGTGCAGGCATAAAAGCCGGCCCATATGGCTTGTCCTTTCAGATAGTGCTGTTTTTTCATCCAGAAATACCGGATCCGTTGCACCCGATTCTTTTCTTGCTAGCATATCATCGGACAAATGGCGACTTGGGCA